AAAAAAATAATATTTAAAAATATCAATTTATTGATTAATTTTAATTTATTAATTAATATCAAATATTAACTATTTTTATTAATTATAAATTAGTAATTATAATTATTAATTATTTTTATCAATTAATTTAAATAAATTAATATTTTAAAAAAATAATATTTTACAATTTTAATATATATAACATTATAAATAATCGCTATAACAGTGCCCAATGTTGCTGCTTTTATTGCTTTAATTCGTCAAAAGTCAATGTTTTCATTTGAGTGCTTTGGTTTTACACCGTTTCGCACCTTGAAGAAAACAATCTATTTTCCTAGCCTGTTAGGTGCTGATTTTGACATCTCATTTTGTCTATTTTCCTTGCTCTAATTATTTCAGAACATTTATTAAATAATAATATTTTTTAATTAAAACTTCATGAAATCAGGACTAATAATATATTATTTTCTTATATTTTTATGAATTTTTATAATTGTTGTCATAATCATTCCACATTAAGGTTTGAAAAGTAAAATGGAGTTGATGAAGAACGAGATATATCAACCTACCACATATTTTATGTCAAATCTTACCACGTTTTTGTCACAAAGTGAAATTGTTAACTTACCTCGGATGCTTCAACTCCATTGAAAATCAGGTTCTTACGGACCCACCAGAGTGATCAAGAGATGACAACAAACGTATAAGGCAAACCCTTCCCAATTACCAACGAAGGGTTGGATCAAGTGGTAAGCGGCTTGTTTCAACTTAAGTAAGGTTTCGAGTTCGAAATCTTATGTATGCAGCAGCCTTCGTCGAGAGACCTTCCCACCACAACCCGGTGCGCCACGCGAGTCGATCTGGATTAGTCGGGACGAAACCTCGGATACCGGATTAGAAACCAAAAAAAAAAAAAAAAACCCCTTCCCAATTCGTGTAATCCTGATGTCCATTTTACACTTTTTTTTTTTTATCGGCAAAAAATAGTTTATCATTAAAAAGAGTATAAGTAATATTCCAGTCTATATTGTATCTCATACAAAATTTTAAAAGCTTTACAAGCTAATCCTTATAAAGTTTCTTGATACCACATCTAAAGTAGAAGGGGAATATAAAAAAAAAAAAAAAAAAAACTGTAGGTATCCTTACTCTAGGAAATAGACACTGCTGGGGTGAGTATGGTTCAGTTTTGGATGTAATTAAAATTTAATTATTGGTTAAATAAATTTTTAGTTATAAAATTTTAAAAATTATTTACCAAACTAGAAAAGTTAAGTTTTATTGAATTCAGTTAATAACCATTTTGGATTATTTACTATTTGGGTTGGTTTTGACTTTAATCAAAAAATTAATTTATGCTTTTTTATAATCTTTAAAATTCTTAATTGCTAATTTATTGATTTCAATTATTAAAAACAAAATTTTTTTAAGGAAATAAATAATTTGATTGAAAGTGATAAGAAAACTCTAAAAAAATTTAAACACCATTAAAAAATTTATATAAGAAGTTTTGGATCAAAATTTTGGTTTTACTCAACCTAATCATCTATTTTTTTTTTTAAAAAAAATTTAGATTTAACAACAAAAATATGAATCCTTTGACATTGGTTCAAATTGAATTTTTGTTAAAAAAAACTTCAAATCCAATCAAATCCAACCCATCTATTATGGTTTGGATCATCTATTATTGGTCAAGCCCATAAACCCACATATTTCCCAAAACTAAAATATCACATAATCACACAATCATTTCACACGCCTAACAAACATGCAAGGCATTTAAATTACAATGACCGTAGTTAGCCAAAAAACAAAAAAAATTACAATGACTGTAGCTTAATAAGTTAGCAATGATGCACGTATTAAGTCTCATCCAACTTATGGGGTGTTTACTTGGGTCTTTTAGAAATAGTTGTTAGGTATTAATTTTAATTAAATGAGTTAAATATTTTAAATTATAAACAATAATAATTATCAATAATTAAATATCAAAAATGTTAAAATCATGTACATCAAACATGCCATGAGATGATGGGTGCAGTTTCATTCAACCTATATAATGACAAATAGCAGGCAGCATAGATATAGGTGACGTGTCATATTTATACTGACACATCACCTATTCCTCACTACAATTTCAGTAGGTAAGGCGTGTGCAGCATAGATATGGGTGATGTGTCGCATCTATATTGCTACATAACCTATGCCTCATTGCAATTTCAGTTAGTAAGGTGTGATTTCTGCCTAACCTCATAGATTCATATTTTGACAACCCTCTTCCCAGTTCCAAACACTGAAAAACATATATGTTTATAACTCAAAACGAAAAATGTGATGCTGGATGTTGAATTCCTTTTATTAGATGTTACAAGTGGAAAGCAACAAAGCTCAAATCTCTAAATGAAGGTGTTTTGAAAATAAATTTGTTTTGAAAATAAATTAGCTTTGAAAAATTATTTTTCCAACATGATAGTTAAGACATATCTCTTGACATTAACATATGTATAGTTTGAAATAATTGACATAGGTTCTTGGTTATTGACCTTTATTGATTCTAATTGTCAACTGGCATTTCTATTTTTGTAGGAGGTTTCACAGGTGAAGAGGAACCAACTTGAGAGAGAACTTTCTTCAGAATATATTCATTAGATACAGGATTTACCTGCAAATAATCTCTTGTATAAATAGTAGCCTAACTTTTAGTTGTTTTGCTAAATACATAATGAGGATGTTTGAGATTCAAATCTTTAGCCAAATTATCATATTGGAATGATGAATTCCCATTTGAGTTATCTCTGGAATAGTTCATATAGAGTTGTTGAGAGGAAGTAGCTATCCTACTAATGGACCCAAACTCGTCTCCCTTTTTGTTCTACTCAAAAAGACTGAATACCGTTTTATACATTCTCAAAGTTTGAGGTTAGGATGTAAGTCGAGTAAATTAAAAAGGGTTTTCTCTCATTTGTGCCTATGCAGAGTAGGTTGCACTTTTATAAATTTAATTTTTATAAAAAAAATTTTAAATTGACTGTATTTTCATCACTAAAAAACCTTAAATTACCTATTAAAAGGTCACCAATGTGAGACTTTTTGTGAGTAAAAGACCTGTAAGGACAGGTCCGAGGTGCCAAGCCTCGGACTGCTACAGTAACTCCTCTATGACCGAGGTGGGAAATAAACCCAAAACCTCCCGCTCAAATAGATGCATGACAGTG